GTTGAGGGGATTTCTCAGTGGAGCTCTGATTCTGACCAGGACCCGCGGATTATCACCTTGTGTCTCTGTTATTGTGATTACTAAATAAACCTTACCTTTGCACTCGCACTTGGATCCTGACTCTTCTCTGAAGATGAATGAATATAGATGAATGAAGTCGATTTTTGTAACAAAACATACAAATATAAGTGGGATTTCTGATAAATGATACATAACACTTAATTCTGTAGGGAGTTTTGGTCTTGAATGACACAAGAATTGATCGCATTCATTGTAACAAGTTTATTTCTTGATGTACAAGTTCAAAGTATTGCCATCAATATACACTAAATATTTTAACCATACTTTCTTCTTTGTGTGCGTGTGTAAATCTGTTTAGTCGTAACTAAATTTACTTTCTCACGTTTATGAGAGCAAACATGAATAACGATGGAGTAATTGCCTCTGAACATTATTTTGAGTGACTTAAAGAGGAGTAAACTAAGTATTTGAATACTATCTATGGTAGAAGAATCAGGAATTAAACTCGTGCAGGAAACACTTGGGTGTTACTTAGGTAGACAGACATATGTACAGACATTCTTTTAAAAAAAAGTGCAATGTACGTAATAGGAATGTTTCTCTGGAGCTATGATTCCACCTTTGAACTTGTGACTACCATAAATACTAATTAAATTTTCTGACTTTGGTTGATTTCAAACAGTTTGATACACTTTATTCATTATAATATCTGTTGGCCAAAACAATGCTTTGTTATTTTAGTATGTTAATTTTTGATAACTTTAGAGCATTATTTAGAGCAACTTTAAAGCTAAATGAACCCTGAGAGTGGGAATTATATTCTTATATACCAGGAAAGATTTGGGTAGACAGATAGATAAGAGTGAGGAAGTCTGAGACCAGGGGAATACAGTGTGAAATTTTGTCAAAAGGAAAATTGCTCTGAAAATATGCATGCCACCAAACCACACGTATCCAGTATATTCTAACTGCGAACTCCATTATGTCTTTCAATTGAACTGAATATAATATTAAAAATAATTTAAAACAAATTTATTTATGCTCAATTAAAATAAAAATGAGACCGGCACTAGTCGTCAGACACAAGGGCTGTAACTATAAGCTGATAAGCTGAAGTGATTTTGACACAAATATTACATTTTTGTTATATCGGTTCCAGTTTTTCAGTCACACTTAACTTGGCTAAACTGTCACTTGAGTTTTATATGTAGTAACTGCATACTCCAAGTTTGTCAAAAACAAAAGAACATAAAAGTGCTTCAGAAGTTTTTTTAAATTTGTCGAAAACCCACATAATTGACTATTTAACGCAAGTTCCCATTGTGACAATTTACCACATAAAATGTTGCAACTTAGTTTGGTCAATATGTTAAAATAACTCAATAGCCTGTTTCTTGCCAAGATGTTACACTAAAAAAATTGGCGTAGGATTTACGAAACAAAGTTCACCTAGAAATTGCTAGTCATTTTCACAAACAACTACAAAAGAAAAGGCATCTAACATTGAATTAAACAAAGTTTTTAAGCAGAAAGACTGAAATTGTATTTTCTCGTAAAACAGACTCCAATAATCTTTATTTTCTTTGGAAACTCTTTTTTTTTACAGCGTGATAAACAGAGATTAATTTAAAAAAAATTAATCATCATAATAGTAAACATTAACTGGATCTTCCCAACAGTTTCTATTATTGATTTCAATTGATATTCAAGAGTAAATACCTAACAAGCACCTGAAAGGTTTATTCCCTTTTAGGTTAGCAGACATTGAAGTTATTTGAGTTGTATAATCACAAAGGTGATGACACAAAGGTATTGCCTAAGAGCGACATTCTCTATAAATGGCAAGTAACTTAGGGCTGGACTAGTATATATGCAGGCAGACGCCTTAACAAACTCATGCAGCTTATTCAGATACATTTCGATTGCATTGAAATTCAGAGTTTGACAGAAGAGAAAATCATGTATTTTTGTAAATTTCCTTTCACAGCTGACAAGAGAACGAAGAACAGGGTGTTGATAGTGTCTGTGGAGAACTTCTATTCAGGTGCAGGTCTGAACAAGAGGAACGGTGTGAAGAGAGACACTAGAAGACTTCACAAAATCCTCACCAAGCTCGGCTTCTCTGTGGACATCAGAATGGACATCGACGCTAATGAGATCTGTGAAGCATTTAAAGCAGGTAATGTGAGTTGATGAACTGACATTTTGTCTAATAAATAAAATCTACAATCTATGAGTTTGCATGGAAGAGATTTTGCCATTATGCAAAACTGCAGACAGTTATGACTGCAGATAATCACTATTTTAATAGTAATGACAGAAATGAAACTTGCGCAGCGCATTCAGAATACTCACTAACACTGTCCTTCATCCTCAGAGAGCAAGAAGACGGTCAAAGACTGTTTTGTGGGCATCATATCCAGTCACGGTGAGGAGGGTGTTGTGTTTGGCGCTGATGGACGTGCTGTGAAACTGGCAGAGATCTACAGTTACTTTGGAGGCCCATCAATGGCAGAAAAAAAAACGTAGTCACAGTTGCTATAACATTCCGGATTTAGATTCCTTTGACTTTCTGGCACTATTCAGTCATTTTAGACCGAAAAATTTTATGTTTTGAAGTTTTTACATCGCTTTATTCATTGATCATTGGAATGGTACGAAACTATGTGAATACCAGTGTTATTTTACTATCATTGAGATATTATTATAGTTTTCATTAATATTTTGAATCAGTTTTTATATTTTGTCATTTAAATGTTTTTATTTAAAAATTGGTAATTTAAAAAAAAATCAGTAATAGAAATATATATTTTTTAGTAATTTTGTTTATTTTTCTTTTTGTTATTTGAGTACATCAAGTCAAGCTAAATTAAAATGACAAGTGCTGCATTAGCAATTTTATTTCAGTTAACTTTTTATTTATTTCAAGTAAATAAAATAAGTTGTAGTTTCAGCTACAATAACCCTGGAGAACCAACAAAAAATTGTGGACATGATTTGAAAAGTCTAAAAAGCAAAAAAGGTCTCTTGGGCTTGTCATGGTCAAAAATGACCACCATAGGAAATGAATGAGAAATACGAAAATATAGAGCTTTTTTGTGTGTGTGGGATTTCTCCCACAGCTGTTAAAAATGTATTGAATGTCTACTCACCAAATAAATACAAACGTTGAGTTTAAATTTGTTACAGATTTGAACAGAATGCTAACCTTCTGGCGTTCAGGCTTGTCGAGGGCATGAGTTGGATGGAGGTGCGGAGGTGGAGGCAGATTCTTCATTCTCAGAGGAAGACGACGGCATGTCTGAGCTCTTTTCCATTCCTATTGACACAGCAGTCATGTACGCCACATCTCCAGGTGTGACTTATTAACTCCAAAACATTGTTTGCATAGTTTGTAAAGTCACAAACACTTCAGTTCCTCGCTCACGTACGTTCATTCGTGTTCTAGGTTACGCTGCATTCATGCATCCTCTGGGCTCGGTGTTGATTCAAACCCTCTGTGATTTGCTAGAAAAGGAAGGAGGTCCAGAGCTGGAGATCACAAGACTTCTGACTCGACTAAACTACCAGGTGGCCTACAACTTTGAATCCAGAGGGAAAGTGTTGGGCGGCAAAAAGCAGATGCCATGTTTTGTGACCCGCTTTACCAGAGAGGTTTTCCCATTCATGGACAGTCAGACGGCAGCAGCAGCAGAAGATTTGAGCTTGACCTTTGCAGCAACGCAGCTTATCGATGAACCCAGAAGGTCACGGAAGAGCTCCATCAGCTGAAGATCGCAGAACAGAGACTGACTGCAAAGAACATGTGGAAATGTTAGATATCATATCATCTCATTTGATGAGATAACATATAATCACGTAAAGTTGCATCGGTAATAGGAAGTAAGGTGCTGGGAAACGTGCAAGATGTGACTTGATTTATAATGCTGTGTTTGCTACTTCCTTGTATTTATTTTCCTAAAGTAAAACAGTCATATTCTGTTTTATTTGACCGTGTATTGAAAAAAATGAAATATTAAAAAATATATTTATATATAAATCTTAAAGTGTTTATCTGTATTATACTGTATGTGATATTCAAATAAAACCTAAACTGAACTCGAAAGCTCAATGTCTTACTAAATTCAAAAATCAATTAGTGTTGCAAAGGCATTTTAATGAAACACCATTTCTGGGAAACACTTGTGTTATGATAATCCCGATCCTGTGCTGACTGTATGCCAAACTAGTTTCTGTGACTCAGATTACGACATATTCATACTTTGCCCTTGCTATATTTACTGTACTTGTAAGTGTGAAGTGTTTGTTAAACACTCTGTACTTTTGCAGTTGACAGCCAATCCAGACATGCAGGATTTCAACATGGCCTGTTGGTCACAAACACTAATGTCAGGTTTCATTTAGCTGTCTATACAGTGATGACTATTATTTGTGCTTATGAGATGTTCGGTATGCTAACTGCATGGCTTAAACTAGTGTTTAGTCATTCGTTGCACTCAGGTGCTCTTTTATAAATTAATAATGACTGCAAAAGGAGTTTGAACATTTTGGCTCCCAATGATGAGACATAGAAGTCATTGAAAATATTACAGTAACCCGAACTGGTGAAAATAAGAATGAAAATGAGATACAAAAAGAAAAGTAAAGAAGCATTAAACCATGTCTGGTATGCGAATAACACAAACTGATATAGAGTAAAGTATCTGGTGATTCTCAACCTACCGGAACTACTAGAATGACGCTGCAATACTTATCTGTGAGCATGAGAGACGTGCATCGTTTTACAGAACTGAAGTACTTCTTGACGTGAAGGATCAGAACACACTGTACAGAGAGTACTTTATCATGAACGGCAGACATCAGTACTAACAAGCCATCTGCATGAAGTCTACTTACAGTTTTACATTCATAAAGTATAAGCAGGTACTGATAAACATCTAAAGGCCCAAACAGTTCAGCTGATATGAAAAACAAGATTTGTTGTGTCATAAAATGAATACTTTTTTGTGATAGCTTAAATAATGTGGTGAGAAAAATTGCTATAAATTAGTCTATAAATTAAATATTTATTATTATTTTTATGATTATGACTAAAATAATGCCTACCCTGAAAAAATATTATTATTATTATTAATAAATTGACACTGACAGTATTATTTAAAGTCATAAAGAGACCATAAAGTCATCCTCCACCAGGAGGTGCGTGTGAGAAACATTGAAATTTCATTTCTCTATTTTTTCTATTTTTTTTAACTATAAATATTTAAATCTGTTGATGACAAGAAGGGGCTCCTTACAAACAAGTGGAAAGTCCACACTTTATAAAAAATATTTCAAATAGCCAAATCCAACGTAACACATATGTGACAACACCATGTTCTTCTTCAGCAGCGGTCTAAACAATCAATTACATGTTGAAAACTGATTTACAATTTGAAAACTGGCACTGAGAAACTTGAAAAGCTATTGATACAACCTAAACACACAAAATAAGAAAAGCACGTCATCTTTCTTTGTGCTAATTATCACTGTGTCCTTTAGCCTTCCCTGTCCTACAGCAGCTGAAGTACAGAACTTCTGTGGGAAGAACAGGATTGCAGAAATCATTTGAAGCTGACACAATGTTGATCTGTAAATCATGCTGTCTGTCTACTGTGTACATACATATCCACCCTTCCTCGGAACAAATAAAGGTGTGCGATCTCACCCTAAAAGCTTTTGGAAAAACGAATATAGGCCTATGTTAAAACTAATACACACACACACACACACACACATATATATATATATATATATATATATATATATATATATATATATATATATATATATGAAGAGAGACACTAGAAGACTTCACAAAATCCTCACCAAGCTCGGCTTCTCTGTGGACATCAGAATGGACATCGATGCTAATGAGATCTGTGAAGCATTTAAAGCAGGTAACAATATTTATTCTAATGATTTAAAAAAATTCCAAGCAGAATTCATGTTTCATTTCTTCAATGCTTTTTTTTCTCTCTCTGGTTTCTTAAAAACACTTTACATAAGGTCATTTATTGGTGCCAAAGTCTCATGCTTGTTAATAATACTGTCCTCATTTATCAGCAAACACAGATTAAACACAATTTACCTCTGGCACAAACTCATTGTGTCACAATTTGATTTTGCTATGATCAGAAACGAATGAGTGAATCATATGAGCAATAAAACTACTAGTCAGTGACTAAAAGTCACACAAACTGAAATCTGGACATATGATACACAACATGAATGGAAGAGATTGTGACCTCATAAACCGCATAAAAACAATAGGAACAAATGAGCTAAAAAAAAGAACACGTGCAGAATCTGTCCATTATATTAAATTTCACACCACCACTAACTTGAACTAATTCTATGTCTTTCATCCTCAGAGAGCAAGAAGACGGTCAAAGACTGTTTTGTGGGCGTCATATCCAGTCACGGTGAGGAGGGTGTTGTGTTTGGCGCTGATGGACGTGCTGTGAAACTGGCAGAGATCTACAGTTACTTTGGAGGCCCGTCAATGGCAGACAAGAGCAAACTCTTCCTCATCCAGGTACATTTTGTGAAAACTTTCTCACAGACAAACTCCTCTGACCTTTTTAGCAAATATTGATGGCTGTGATGATTACATTCCACTTTAGAATTCCTTTGACTCTCTGGTACTGTTCAGTCATTTTAAGCCAAAAAATGTTGTGAATTTTTATTTTTATTCATCAGAATGGTATGAAACTTGGTCACATTTGTGGCAATAGTTATGTGAACACACACAAAAAAATTGTGGACATGACTTGAAAAGGCTAAAAAAAAAAAGTCACACTATACTGTTCACATGACTGCCAAAGGAAATGAAAGGGAAATATACAGCATTTTTGGGGGGTTTCTCTCTGATTATTGCATGGCTACTCAACATATGCATGCATGGATGTTAAATGCTGATTTAAGTTGATATTATTTCATTATTTGACCTGTTTATTTTTCTTAAAGCTTGAAACTTGTTGCAGATCATAACTGAATGTTTATAATTAACATAACTTCTGGCGTTCAGGCTTGTCGAGGGCATGAGTTGGATGGAGGTGCGGAGGTGGAGGCAGATTCTTCATTCTCAGAGGAAGACGACGGCATGTCTGAGCTCTTTTCCATTCCTATTGACACAGCAGTCATGTACGCCACATCTCCAGGTGTGACTTATTAACTCCAAAACATTGTTTGCATAGTTTGTAAAGTCACAAACACTTCAGTTCCTCGCTCACGTACGTTCATTCGTGTTCTAGGTTACGCTGCATTCATGCATCCTCTGGGCTCGGTGTTGATTCAAACCCTCTGTGATTTGCTAGAAAAGGAAGGAGGTCCAGAGCTGGAGATCACAAGACTTCTGACTCGACTAAACTACCAGGTGGCCTACAACTTTGAATCCAGAGGGAAAGTGTTGGGCGGCAAAAAGCAGATGCCATGTTTTGTGACCCGCTTTACCAGAGAGGTTTTCCCATTCATGGACAGTCAGACGGCAGCAGCAGCAGAAGATTTGAGCTTGACCTTTGCAGCAACGCAGCTTATCGATGAACCCAGAAGGTCACGGAAGAGCTCCATCAGCTGAAGATCGCAGAACAGAGACTGACTGCAAAGAACATGTGGACAAACTGGTTCATCTTAAAGCAGCACTATGTAACTTTTCTGTGTAATGAGCGAGTACATCATGAACTCATCTTCCAAACCGAGTTTTAGTCTTATTCCGAATCACTACGGTACACTTATAATAAGTACTTCTATTTGGAGTATTGTAGGCTGGTCGGGTCGTCACCACTGCGGAGTAACACATACCTGCGTGAACCGCCATAGACATAAACTTAGAGAAGTAGCTCCGGTTAGAATGTTCTTCCGCGGGGTGTGTGCTGTTCTGTTTATTAACCGCTACAGCGCCAAAAGTTACATATGACCCCTTTAACTCTTCTGTAACATCTGATGTGATGTGCTTTCTTAGCATTCCATTTATGTCCATTTATGTTTTTTTGCTATTGCTACCTCATTATGTATATATTCTACTTCTTCTTTCTATACACTACTGTTCAAAGGTTTGAGGTCATTAAAATTTTTAATGCTTTTGAAAGAAGTCTCTTCTGCTCACCAATTGGCTGTATTTAGCTGATCAAAAATTCAATAAAACTGTAATATTATTAAATATAATTACTATTTAAATAACTGCTTTCAATCATATGATTTTAATTTATATATTTTGTATTATTATAAAATATTATAACTATTCTAATATACTGATTTGGAGCTCAAAGGACATTCTTATTGCTATCAATGTTGAAAACAGTTGTGCTGCATTATTTTTTAAAAAAATTTTTGGTGGTGGTGGTAACCATTATACATTTTTTTCAGTATTTCTTGAAGAATAGAAAATTCCAAATAACTTTTTATAATCTTTTGTAACATAATAAATGTCTTTACTGTGACTTTTGATCAATTCAGTGTGTCCTTGTTGAAAAGTATTAATTTCTTTTAAA